AAATCCACATAATGATATTACTGTAGGGACCAGCATTTTTTCAATATTTCTCAAATGTCATAATCAAATTGTTTCCAGGGAAACTTGGGGTACCCTTGAAAGGATACCTCCCCTTCGTAAGTGTTTCTGACCATCAGCCGGCTTCTGTGTTGTGGATACCATTGTTAGTGTTTCAGGTTCTGAATGCAGCTGAGATATCAACAACAATTTTCTTTATCTAAGTATAGCTTAAAGTCGATCTCCTATCCCATGCCCAAAAGTCTTTAAAGTCCTTATGTTATTAAGCCCCAGAAGTGGAGCAGTTGGCATGGTTTGGAAGATGTGTTGAATTATGCCCTCGCAACAGAGCCTGTGAGATCAGTACATGCAAACACCTGTGCAGACCAAGCAGGATCTGGAACAACTTCCTAAAGCCAAGTTTGGAAAAGGTCAAGGTTGAAGCTGATTCTTAAAGTGTAGTCAATATTGGATTTCTGTGAGGAGGAAGGAAGGAAGGAAGGAAGGAAGGAAGGAAGGAAGGAAGGAGTAGGAGAGGGAGAGAGAGAATATGTTAATGAAAAAAGAGCACTGGTATGAACCTCCCAAAGCAAGAGATAATCCAAGCTTGCTGAGATGTTAAGCAGTCACATTACCCTCCTAATGCTGTTTGCTCAACCTAATGTTCAAATTCATTTCATTCACTTGACACATGCCAAATATTGGCAAAGGAAGTGATCCTACTGTCCTGAATTCAGGAACTGACTTTCTCGTACTTTTGCTCTGGGCTGTTTTCTCCCCGATAACGTCAACATCAGAGTTTTTTTTTTTTTTTTTTTTTTCTTTAATGCACTGATTCCAATTGTTTGTACAGGGGAAATGGAATTGCAAAGAGCATTTGCTTTTGCATGTTCAACCCTGTGGAGGAACAGACTGGGACAGTGCCAAGGATGACTATATGGTGTTGCTTGGGAAGCGCCCACAAGTTCTTTGAAACAGAATTTGGAACAGCTGGACCACTGCAGTGTTTTATTTTAAAATAGACAACATATGTAATGCATATGGTTCTAGACATGTATGGAGACACAGGCAGACAATCTGAATGGTATCCAAAGACACCTGCACCTAGAATTCTGTTTCTCTCTAAAAGATTTTTTTCCTCTAAGAGCACATGTTCCCACTTTTGGATTTGCAGGATACCATCTGAATCCCCATGTGTGTGGCTCCTTAATAGAGCCCGTGGGGAGTGATCTGGGATGAAGGTGTCACAGTCAGCCAGTTAATAACTCCCTCCTACAGATCCGCTCCTCCAGGCACTAACAGAGCAAGCCGTGCATCAGAAGGTGCCCTGAAGAACCATATCATCCACAGAGAACTCAGATGTGTGCATATGTCCTGACCAAAGAGAACTGAAACGCAACCCAGAAAAACACAGAGAAGGGACATAGGAATTGGTTATAAGAGGGCAGAGCAGACTGTAAAGACGAGCGATTGGGAAGGACTCCCAGCTCCTTAGAAATGAGACGGTTTAGGAAGCAAGGAACAAGGGAACATTAGCTATAACTGCAGAGACATCTTTGGCTCACTAACAACTTAAACTGGCTTTGCAAACACAAAGAAACTTGCCTGTTTATGCTCGCTAACATTTATTGAGCACTTCCTGTGTGCCAGTTGCCTTCCAGGCACTTCCCAGCAGATCCCCTCAGTAGGTCTCTGAAAGTCTTCTTCAATACTGTCCTCAATTTATAGACAAGATAAGGAAGCTCCAAAGCAGTACACACTCGTTCTCCTCGGCATACCTACCGAGTAGTGGCAGATCTAACCTCAAATCTTTGTGACCCACATCCTCCCAGCTCCTAAAAATAAACTGTTCCCAATGAATCTAGCATAACCATACCCTATAAAGTCAAGAAATAGAAAACAGTTTAATAGACTGAATTTATTTATTTGGATGAAATTCACGGTTGTAACAAACTGGTGTCAAGTGCCCACTCTGAGCCAGGTGTACAACTCTAGGTACTAGGAATTTAGCAGAAAATAAAATTATCAAAATCTTACTCACAACATAGATCCTTTTCATCGACACCTTAAAATAGCATTGCCAGCTACCCTTCCTTCCTTCACAATATAATAAGTTCAGGGAAACTGTTCAAGATTTCATGGGAACCAGCCACCCATTTATACACTGTTCAGTTATTGAAACAATTAAGAAAATGAGTCTAATTCTGAGTAAACAGTAATACTGGGCAAGTAAAAATCCAGGAGATGCTTGTTTTAATTGCTCGGATTCCAGCACATTAAGCTCCATTCCTCTTAAGTGTACAAGGGATCTTAAGAATCATTGAAATACAGTCCATGCCAGCAGAGAGGGAACTAAGTCGGCTCGTCTTCACAAAAGGAAACCGAGTCTCAGAGAAACAACTCTATTAAATAGCACAAAACAATTATTTAAAAAGGTAGCTCAGCCTACAATCTAAATCTACATTCAGTCCCAAGGTCATTTGCCAGGTGGACCAGGAGAGAGAAAAGAGGAGAAGAAAGGACAAGGGCATTTAGCTTTGGTAGCTGTTGTCTGAAAAATGAAAACAGGCTAATCTTATGCATATTTTTCTGTAAGCCTGCTTTAAAATGTCAGTAAAAAAAAGAAATTGTTCTTTAGACTTACCAGCCCACAATAGTGTAGTGGGGCTGTATTCACTGGCCCTTGTGAAGAGTGGGGGTGGGACAGTCTGTGTCCAGAGCCCCTAGAGGACCCAGGTCACCTTTCCAGAGCTATGTTGTAAGTGGCCAGCAAGGCAAAATAGGTCATCAACAATTTCTAAGAGGCTGAGCAAAGAAAGGATACGACCCCTGAAACTTGTGCCACATGTTTAACAGCTACAAAAGAGCCCCTAAATGACAGGTTGCACCAGCAAAATGAAAGAGCAATAAATATCTTCACCAAGCTGGCAAAGTAAGGCCCAGGCCGATTTGTCAGCTTACAGCCTCTTCCGAGAAATCTGAGAGCGAGGAGCTAATGCTCGCCAAACTGCCTGATCTGTTAAAATTGGGAGGCAAGGGGTGGGTGAGGCTTTTTATGAGGCTGTAACAGGATAAGCAATTCGTGCACACCCCACGCTCAGTTTGGTTTCTGAATTAAGTTGACCCGGATCGACGAGATGCAGGGAAGAAGGGCAGAATCTGCCCAGGAGATGGAGAAGAGCCACCTAGATGGTGAGTGTCCACATTGCAGGGGAGGCCTCAGTTGGCCCTTGGTCCTTGCTTTGGGTCACAGTAAGCACACCCTCACCTAGCCCTGCCCAAACCTCACCTTCCTGACTACCGTGAGTCAAGGAGAAAGGGAGTTTGGAGACCAAACCAAAAAAAAAAAAAAAAAAAAAAACAAAGATTTCCCGGGTAAAGCATCCAGCCTTCATTGGAAAGCACTTCCCGGAGCATAAATCTGAGACATCTATCACAGCAAAAGAGGCTTCTTGCAGATTCTCTAATATAATTCCTGCACATTTGATATCCCTTCCAAAAGCTGATGCTTTATGATTTTAATGGAGCGATTTGGCTGTTAAACTACGTATTCTTCAGCTTGCCTTCTGGAAACTGTTGCTTCTGTGTATCTTGGGCATAAACAACACATCTTGTTCAAATACTGACCACTTGCTACTTGTGCAAAAAAAAAAAAAAAAACCCAAAAAGACAGAAGATTTTAAAAATCTGACAATAAGGATATACATCTGCTTCACCATGTATTCAGATTAAAATGATACCAAAATCAGTAAAAGGAAAAATCGTCTTACAGTCACGCGGCTACCACAACCCAAGATTACAGCTTAACCCCAAGCATAGCAGAGAAAAAAAAAGAAGAAAAAAAACTGCCTGGGATGGAGGCCACATATGAAAATATTATTCAAACACTCTCTTCCTCCCAAGTCAGAAATCAATTTTCCCCTTGCCCTGATAATATTGCCGCCTCCTGGCAAGTCCCTGTATTCCAGTAAAATGTTGCATGTGAGGAATTGAATAAAATCTTACTCGATTTGGTGTAAGATTCTGTGTCTCCAGAGTCTGCATAGGAGGAGAGGGTAAAAAATGAGGTGGAGTGAACCTATTCCTTTACCATAAAAGACCTTCATTCCTACCTCTTTAAGATTTGTCTGGTGGCTCTTGAGTTGATTTCTCCGAGTTATGTTGCCAGTTGAGGGTAGTGTATTTTAGCTACACATGTTGAGATTAATTAGTTAGCCCTTAGGAGGTTTGCCTACTTCCCTCACCCTGGAAGGAAAAGTGTGAATACATTGAGACTATTAATTCACAATAAATGACAGATCATAACCCTCACTGAGTTGATTTCTGTTTGTCTCTTTCATATGCTTTGCTAACGAGTCAGCATACTATAAGGCAGTGTCCTTGGCTATCACAAACTAAATTCCCATTTAACATAGTGTCCAGGTTTTGATGAAAATCTTTTGTTTTCTTTAATTTTTTAATTTTGGAGGTGGGGACTCAAACCTTTTGTGAAACCAAATTGGCAATGGGGATTTGGAAGGGGGAGACACAAATATTGTCACTTTGCTGAAAATCTTCAGAACCCTTTCTCCAGAGAATCTCAATAATTGTAGAGAAATTGCTCTAGACATAACCACTGGAATGGCAGAATCTATTAAAAACCTACAAAGCTAACTAGGCTATTACAGGCAAAGGTCCGATCTGCTTTCAGTGTTTGGTGACATGCAGGCGAAGTTACAGTCGTGCTTAGTTTTGAAAGAACCAGATGAATGCACTGGAATTGTGATCATTTGATAAACACATTGATGCCAATATATTTTTGCCTAAATGCAGTAAACTCACCAGTAAGTGATGCAAGTTGACAATGGGAGGTAAAAAGAATATCTTGGGGATGTTGGAGGGAGGTAACATGTAAACAGCTAATGTTCGTAATGCCTAGTGGATTCCTGTGTATTTGAAATGTCATAAAAAAATGTGATGTGTTTCTCTAAATTGTGTCTCTCTCTACATGTGTAAATGAACAGACGCAGATAGAGCTCAAAAGCATGGCATGGATGAATTTATCTCTTCCAACCCCTGTAACTTTGACCACGCTTCCCTTTTTGAGATGGTACAGCGCCTTACTTTGGATCACAGACTTAATGATTCCTATTCTTGCCTGGCAAGTATATTCTTTGGTCTACAACAATTTAAACATAACATTTTTAAAAATGAAATATTTCTCTACCTTTATGTCAGAAGCTCTTTTCTCCCTTACAGAATCCCTTTAACAATTGCAAGTGTGTTTCTCAATTTTCTGAGTTGAGATAGTTTTACGTACCAAAGCAACAAGACTGAGCTGGGAGAAGTTCTCAGGAGAGACACATCCAATTCCCCAGCCTGCCGTCTTAGCTTCCCCCTTTTCAGCTGCTATATGAGAAATATTCTCAAGAGGGTAATGGAGTTTGGCACCTGCTCGTGGAGAACTTGTAAAAACCACCTCCTTATCTTAGAGTTTAAGATGCCCCTCCCTCCCAATTCCAGACCCGTGCTCCTATCTGGGAAAGGAATGTATGGTGTGTGTGTGTGTGTGTGTGTGTGTGTGTGTGTGTGTGTGTGTGTGTGAAGAGTGAAATGATTCGTAAATAAACTGTTTCACTGTCCACAAAGTTAATCAATTCAGGTTGATTCGTTTGTTGGTTTCCTTTTGTTTGTTTGTTTGTTTTTTCTTTCTTTCTTTCTTTCTTGATAGCATTCACAGCCTTTTTCACCCTGTAAGGAAATATTTTACAGTACATGAGACATTTGGAAATCCAGCTATCCAGCAGGAGTATCAATATTACCTAAATCCTATTTTTAAACCTAGATTTAAATTAGTTAAATTCACAGAACTGCTATTATATCTTTATAGGATTTTTGCAGATACATTTTTGGCTTTAGATATCAAATTCAAAATCCTAAAAATGTCTTGGTTCCTTTCCTTCTGCAAACCATAAATTATTACTTCATTTTTTAAAGGTAAATGTAACAACACTTTATAAATGGAAAAGATGAAGAGAAATGATAAAATGATTCTATAAAATCCTTGCCCCAGAAACACTGAAATAATTTACTTGTGTAGTATTACTTTTAATTAACGTATTGTAAATATTAATAGACATATAAAGACTCCTCCTTCTTTACTAAATTACATGGTTATACCCTAACTATATTCTGATTTACTGCTATGTTAATTCATTAATATTTTGGTACCAGAAGCTAAAATATAAAAAAAATTGTGGTAAAGTAATGTTAAAAATAGAAATAGGACTCTATAGAATAATTTATTAACCTAAGTCTCATAAATGATATATTGATTATCTCAGGTTTAGAATCTCTTCATCAGAAAACTCAACTTTGCCAGATTGGAAAGGAACATATCACTTTGACTTTTAAAAGAAAAAAAAAGCTTACCTTGCATTGCAAAGCAATTTTCTCAAATGTTTTTCCTACCATTATGGAATTATTCATGTTAATTATAAGTTGCATTTATGAAATGTGTAAGAATGTGGATGCCTCTGAACTTAAATCATGCTCTTTTAGGTATTTTTTTTCTTTTGAGGAATTTTTTAATGCGTATTAGTTTCAAGAATTTTTTAACATCACCATTTTTACCAAACAATTTTCTTTTGTTTTGGAATGTATGACAAAGACAAATTAGTAAATGCCCTCTTAAAAATTTTGAAGCAGAAATGAAATACTGAAGCTTGTTTCCTGCTAGTCATTATAGGCTTAAAAATACGCTCCAAAATCAAAAATTAGTTATAAACAGGGTAAAATAGCTTCCTTTTGTACTTGAATATCTGACATTATTAATTATCCAGAATAGCAGAAAATTAAAAAGAACCTTATCTCTAGTCTCTATATATCCCATTTTCTCATTATTACAGTCTTTTTTTCAGTTGGTTTTGGAGACCGACCAGCAGGGATACATAAATTTTTCTGTGTCTTCGACTCAGTTCCTAATTGATATTTCTTCAACTCTTTTCAAAGCAGCTATTTTGGCATCGACAAAAGACTTGGTGTCATCCGAGTCGTAGAAAATATATTTTAATCTTTCACAGCAGTGTTGTTTCTAAGATTTAGCATTTGGGGTAGCAGATGGAGTGGCAAAGAAGTTGCCTATAGGGGCAGCCCACTGCCTCGACTACTCTCCCGCCCTCTGCAGTAACTTATAATTTGAAATAGGAAAGATGCCGTCTTTCGTTGGATGCAGCACGGAGCTGCGTGTTGTCAACAGAAGATTCCCCAGATCCGTAATATAAGATCAGGGTGTTACAGAGCCCCCGCCTTGCTGCACCTCCATGGCCTCTCCCCAGTCCATGGTCACTTTCTTCTTTTGCTCTTTCTCTCCCAAGATGGAACAGTGTCCAAAATAAGAACCAAAGAAGACCCTCAGAGTAAAATTAAGTTTACATTTAAAACAGCCCTACATTCTAAACTTACACAGTACAACTCAGTTGGCTTATTTCTTGCTTTGGATGACATTGAAATAATTGATTTGATTTCAGGCTGTGCCCAAGGATGAACTGAGTGGAAGTCCCTTGGCCTTTCTGGGCACTGGCTTTTTTAAGTGCACAGCAGAAGAGGCAAATTCTATCCCATCTTGCCACTGAATCTGGGTTTTGTTTCATAGCAGAGTTTGGGCTGGCCTGATAACAAGGAAATATGGAATAAAAATAAATAAAATTACTTGGAGGAAAAAAATCAAAACTGTGAAAAAGGTATAAAGTGTTCCTCTCAGTTTAATCAAATCGTATCTGATCAACTGGAAAACTTAATCTCTCTATTCTCTTTGGAAAGTTATGTTATTACCTTCTTTTAAAATTGAAAAATACTTGTAAAATATATTAACTTATAAATTCCTGGCAACTCTAAAAGTTCTTTGTGTTCCAGAGCAGGGAAGCAGGAGACTTTGAATAAAACTGGCTTGATTTGAGTCCTACCTGTTTTGTGACACCTGTGTGAGTCTCTGAGCTCAGACTTCTATTTCCCCATCAGTAGAATGAAGATAACCCTGCCCTGCCTTCCTGTTAAGCTCTCCATCCTCCCTGAGCTCAGGTCTGCTGTCCACATACCAGGCGTGACAGAGTTTCCCCCTGGGCCAAGTGTGAGGACTGAGACAGACAGCACACGTGTTGAGTGGAGCTTAGTAACAACCAGTGAGCCTTACTTAGCTGCCGTCCTCCCAGGGACCTTCTCCGCCCACTCCCAGCTCTCCAGGAAACAATCTGTGTTTAAAAGAAAACCTCTCCTTTCTTCCTATGCAGGGCTGGTTCAGTCCTGGCCAGGTGTTTGTATTAGATGAATACTGTGCCCGCAACGGAGTCCGAGGGTGTCACCGACATCTCTGCTACCTCAGAGACTTGCTGGAACGGGCAGAGAATGGTGCCATGATTGACCCCACCCTTCTCCACTACAGCTTTGCCTTCTGCGCATCCCATGTCCACGGCAACAGGTAAGCAAGCAGGTGTGAGCCAGTGCAACCAAAAAGCTCTTCCCAGAAAAGCAACTGGCATGGGTTTTAGGATCGCACTTAACAATCTACTTCCATTCCCTCGGTAGTATTGCACACACATACACACACTCAACACACACCCCAGAGAAAGAAAGAGAAAGAGAACACAGGGATCTAATTTAGCTTCTTCCTTGCAAGACACTGTGTAGAAATGGCAAACAGGACTTCTAGCGTGACCTCTGACATTAGTCCAAACTGGATTCAACCCATGCCTCTTCTACTTACTGTTAATGAACCTGTTTGATAATTAACCTCAATGGAAAACAGTATCCTTGTAAGGATAAGCCTTATCAAGAGGATGCAGATAGATGCAAAGAGCTCAGCAAAGTGCCTGGAGTGTGTCAGGAGCTTAATAAACATTTGCCGTTGTTCTTGCCTTTCATTCCATGGGTGCTCAATGATGATTTACTTGTGTCAGATTTTGGTACACATTCAGGATACGTGACAAGTAAAAATAAGATACCAAACAAGGGCAGAATCATGTTAGTATTGGTGCTGTGAAGAAAAGGAACAAAACTCCATGGTGGAATTTAATAAGGAACATGACTCAAATGGAGTAGCAGCATGGCAGGGGGACCTCCCTGAGGAAATGATGCTGGAGCTGAAAACTGATATGTGTGTAGGAGTTGAGTGGTTCCAGGCAAAAGGAACAGCATGTACAATTGTCCTGCAGAAGGAAGCAGCCAAGCACATTTTGAGAGCTAAACAAGCTAGGTGAAGCTGGAAGACAAAGATGATGATAGCACTTATAATGTAACCAGAAAGGTGGAAAGAACTTCAGAGATCTCAGTCTAATCAGCCACTTCATTTTACAGATTTTACAGACAAGACCAGAACTCTAAGGTTCTTGGTTCTCCGTGAAGGACTCCCTCTCTTTAGACCTTGCCCAGTTCCTGGAGGAAGTGATCCATGTTCTGAATAATGCAGAGCGGCAGATAATTTCGGAAAGCTGCTATTTGGCTCTAGAGATATGAAATACACTTCCACAGTGCCACAGCCATTTTACCACCCCAATGTATGTCACCTCATATTAGTACAGAGTTAATCTTACATTCTTCCAACACTCACAGGAAGCACACCCAGGAGGGAAGCCAGGTAGCTTTGCAAAGCTAGCCTCTGGTGAAAATATGCTTGCTCTAAGGCAATGATGATGAATCTTTCAGAGCTTTCAACACTAACCAACATCCAACTGCAACACAAATCCCATAGATTCACCACCACTGCTCTAGGGAAATCCACAGTGGGGAGAATCCAAAAATCTACCAGGCTTTTTTGTAATCAGAGCTATGTCAGTCCTCTTCATTTTTGCAAGCCATATAGCCCTGAAATACGGTGTCTGTGGGATTTGTTCTGTGTTTTTCCTCTCCGGTGCTGATAGATTTTTATGAAATGCAACTTCAGCATTTAGAAATAGACAACAATAGCACTGTAGGTTTGAATATTTAACAGGCAACGAGGTTATCTTCACCTCCTTTTGTCATGAGGTTCAGCAATCCTGTGCATGACCTTTTATTTGCATAAATGATACTCATGAAAATCTGATACCTGGGATGTATCTGTGCATAATTCTGCTTTTTATAAATATGTACACTTTGATGACTATCTGTTACAGCCTCTTGGACTGAATTCTTTAGAGAGAGAGAGAGAGAAGTTGCATTATATTCTCTGGGTTGTCACACTGTATTCTACATATGTTACTGAATAAGAAAGTGTTATAAAATAATGAAGTGTTTTTGTAAACTCCCTGGTAAACATCATCATGAATTATGATACACATTGTCTGGATTTCATATTGTAAGACTGCCACTTGATTCACAGTTAGGTTTATACATCTTGTCATGGAAACAGTTTTGGATTTCTTATTTTCTTTTCAGTTCTGATCTTCCTTATGCAAGTTTGCATCCTTTTTTTTTTTTTGCTTATTATTTTAGTTCAAATGCATTTGCTTTTGCTTCGTGATGCACCCTTTTTTTTTCTTTCTTTTGTTCATGCATGTATGTGTGCTCTTGATTCTCCAATGGCTGGCCACTGTCTGTGCATGCCTCCTGCAACCACCCCTCTCAAAAGTCAACAAATGCATGTGTACCTTAGTGGCTTGCTACCAAATACAGACTCTGAAGGGAGCAAAACTCCCTTTTCATCTGAACCAGAGACTAAAAAAGATACCAAAAGAGAATCCAAAAAAAGAAAAGAATCCAAAATCCACTCAAGCCAAGAACCCAAAAGGTAAGCAGTTATATGAACCTCACCATGTCAGTCATAATAAGCAATGCATGCTTTACAATTTTGAAAATTTTGGGTTTTTTTTTGGGGGGGGGGTTGGTACCAGGAATCGAATTCAGGGCCTCACACTTGCCAGGTAGGTACTGTACCACTGAGCTATATGCCTGGATCCTTGAAATTATGTTTTAAGGAGTAAATAAAATGAGTTGGCATCAAATGAACCTGTACATTTATAATAGTGCTATCGTTTTCAGTAAACACTTCTCAGTTCTTCAATCGTCTCATGAAAAGAAATTCACCACAAAAAATGACTTATAATAATGACACAAAATAAAGCTTAACACCAAATAAGTGGTTTTATTAGAATCATTTACATTATGAGGTTATCTCTAAAGCAGTTTTAGGTTCTAAAATTTGATTTATCTTGCCTTCTTTCCCATCTCTTTGAAGGATGCTGTATTTTTAACTACTTGATAAACTGATGGTTTTTTCTCCCTTTTATACTACCTTTACTCAGTATTTCCAGTGTATCCTTATGTTCCTCTTCAGTTTCTCTACCTTTGCCCCAAATTAACATCAACACTTTAACATTTTGTTGTAGTTTGGGAACTGATGATTCTGATTCAAGCATTTTCAGGCTACCCAAAATTTGCCAACATGTGTGCTTTATTCTTCAGGATGAATCGCTTCACTAACTGTGTCTGTCTAAGCCCCCAAAATATATACATTTCAAGTGTAGATAGACCAAATGAAAATGCAAACTTCTGCTTTCTAGAGAATACAGCAAGCTATCAATCAGTCTATGTGGATCTAATAGTGAAAGTCAAAGCAGATCTAGATTCTGTGTAGCCACTTATATCCCTTATGGCAATACAAGAGGATGTAAGTGGAGTTTCTGCCTGTGTTTCAGCAGCAGCATCAGCTGCAAGGAAATAATACCTTGCAGCACCAGAGAAAGTTCTGGGGAGAATAGGTGCCCAAAGCGCAGGTCTAAAAGAACTGTCGAGTCTTTGAAGATGAAGGGGCCTTGGCTGCTGTCCAAGGTGCTGCTTTTGGAGAGCAAAATAAGGGCAAATGGTCCCTGTGAAAAAATAGCATTTAGTCAAGCCCGATCTAGTTTCTGTGCCATGAAGTCATCCAAAATGATTCCCACTGGTTGTCTGACAGGATTCTGTGTGTTTCAGGATCTATGTTTGCTTTTTATGTCATAATGAAGATGAAATTGTAATATTAAATGTCCATCGTGTAGTAGCTTTCTACAGTTTACAGAATGATTTCAAATCTTCTCCAATTTGCTTTGATATTCTTAGGCTATACATTTTTGAACCTATTTGGCATAGCATAAAACTGAACACACATAAATTTAAGTGGAAAAACCACATGTCTTAAATCCAAACCTCTTCCTTTTTGTACTAATCTACACTGTGCCTAGATTCTAAAGATCTGAGTGTTAGAAACTGTTCTTCATAAATTTAGGAATATTTTGCTTCATTTCTGTGCCTTGGTTTTCTTACTTGTAAAATGGTCAGACAGAATCATAGCATATCTAGTTTTCTTTTAACTTCTAAAATTGTCTTCTGTGGGTTACAATAAGAAATGAAACAGCTCATAACCAGATTTCATTTTCTAAATTTTGATTAAAATAAGGATAATCATTACTATTTAACAAATACTTGTCAAATTCCAACCACTATATGAGGTGCTTTCGATGCGTGCTCCCTAATTTTATCTTTATTTCACTCCTGTGAAATAAGTATTGTTATTACCCTTCTCCAGTAGATGTGATCTTGAGGGTCAAATTTACATACTTCCCTGAAGCTCTGTAACAAATAATAGTCTCAGCCTTATTGGAACGTGAATATTCTGGCATAGTGCTTGCCTTGTAGCCACTCTGCCTTACTTCCCTTTTAAGACTTTCACTTATTCTTGGCCTGTGATTCCATTTGATTCTTGTTTCAACATCTCCAGGTGAGATACTGCAACAGTCACCTGCAAGGCATTTGCCATTTGAGGCATAAAGATGACCAATATCAATACAGCCCACCTACATAATATTAGCCCTTAGATACAGTAGACTGTACTGCAGTTTTAGACCACCTAGGGGAGAGTTTTCTTTGAGTACTAATTAGCAGTCTTTGGTATTGTGGAAATCGTATTCCTAACTCTTTCATCTGTACAACCAGCGTTTGAATCTGCAGATGTTAACTTTAACTATCCCTGCCCCAGGTTTAAAAGAAATGCATGGGCTTGGGAGGCAGCTTGGCAGTGGATCCCTTGCCTAGCATGCCTGAGACCCTGAGTGTGACCTCCCATACTACAAAAGGAAAAAAGAAGGAATTTGTGACTCGTAAACAGATTACCCCTTTAACTGAACTTAAATGAACAGTGAATCTCCTTCCCATTGTTATCTCAAAACCACCTTCAAATTATATTTTAAAAATTTTTGTATATTACTGGCTTAACAGCCTCTAGAAGTAAAGGAATTGTTAGTAAGTGCTGTGTGTCAGAAACCAAATTTCTCCTGCCTGCTCTAAAAGTCTTTGCCACATCTCTGTGAACAAGTGCACCTACGTGGATCATAAACATCCTAATCAAGCCTCACCATGTCTGTCTGGTCAGGATGACATTTGCTCTTGCTAATCCAAGAAGTGTGACATGAGCACATCTACATATTTGACATCTTTTAGAATACTGCTTCTTAACTAGTAGTTGAATTG